AAAATCCAAGCAAACTACAATCACATCATTTAAGTAGGAGAAAATGTTAAAAAGTGAGTGATCAACAACTTTTGATTCTCACTGGCCTAAAATGATCTGATTTTCAGTTGTCTTTTGCTTTGTGTACTTCCTGGGCTCTTGTCTTCTGCAGTCACTCTCACAGTGTTTCAGTAGAAGGAAAGGGTGCAGAGAGTTTTCAAGATCTACCCGACCTCATGCATCCTTTTGAGCCCAAGATATTTTCACTGTAGCTACAGAAAACAGATAATTTGAATACAACTCACATTCTCTTCCTCCTGCCAGGGCTTTGAGATCCTTTTCAGAAAAGTCCAGGGTACTTTCTAATCACAGCTAAGTAGTACATCATCCTCCATGAGCCAGATACCAGCTCCTACCTCCAACATCTTAAGTGCAATTAGCAGGGAGTTGCAATGACCTGATGCAGCTGATGTCAACACTCACAAATTGCAAGGCAAAGGGTAAAGAAGACATTAAGTACTTAAAAAGACCCACCAAAAGTCTTTTACAGCTACTACACAAACCCACATTTCCTGCTCTCCTGCATGTCTGCAACAGTCCTCCAGCCTTTGCTGACAAGATTTGCAACTCACCCTGATTTCTCTTAGGTTGAGTTTGGACAAGCAGCTCACATGCAAGAGGGGGAAGCATGGTATCCATCACATTCGAGGAAACTTTTTGTCAATTGCCTCAAAGTTTGCCCTGCATCTGATGATCAGAAAGCATTTGAGAAGCATTCCCATGGGATTTCAGATATTTTAAATCCTTTATTTCAAACTAACCAGCAGAATAGCAGACCTGTTGAAACAAGGTACTTCAAAAGAGAGAAGCTGCACTGCAGACACTCTTCTCTGGTACTCTACTCTTTCTAAAACTCTAGGATGCAAGAATGATTCAGTACTACCAACAGTACAAGCACCAAGGTTTGGTTTTTTTTTTCCCTAATGCCCAGCACGCCACAACCCAAAACTAGCAAATTCAGTACAAAGTCTCAGCATGCACTTGCAATTATAATTTTCATCATAAATCCACTTCACTGTGCCTGTGATTCATATAAGAGCTATCCAAAACTAAATTAAGTTTAGGAGTCTTTCTGGCATGATTAAATCTTTTTCTTCATCGTATTTAACAGCAGTGCAAGAGAGCTCAGGGAGCAGGGGGAGGTGAGATCATTACCACATTGCAAGGCAGTCAGAGTATCACTTGCAGGAGGAATTGTGTCCTGTCTATTAGCTTCTTCTCTATTTCTTTCCTTTCTTTACTATAGTCAAACTGAGTTAGACTGCTTAGTAGAGAACCATTATGGAAAGGTGACAGAGAATAAGAAACAAGGATTTAAGAAAATAACAGTGTGTTACCTGGTCATCATGGTCTCTGGAGGAAGGTGTGAAATGGGGACCATATCAAGCTAACTGCCAGCATTTGCTGCTGCCTTTGCTCAGCCTCACAGCCTGGCACTGAGCCCTTACAGCCCATGAAAGAACAATCTGGTCTTTGCCATGTCTTGCCCCATCTCTTCCATGAAATTTCAACAACTAACTTGTAGTGTCAAGGAGAAACTACATTACTATTACTAGAAACTATGACACTTTCAGACTGCTAACACCTTTGTCTGCAAACATCACTGCCAATACTGAAGTAATGACTAAATACTGGAATTGTAAGAATGAATTTGAGGCCTTGGCAGCAGTTCTCTTCCCTGTCAAGCTCCATTACAGCCAGGTTTCTCTATCTGCAGAAAAGTACTGTCTGAGAAGACCACTGTAACCAAAGTCTATGTTGCATACAGTGTAGCTGGCTGAATATACAGAGGTGTTATTTCACTAACAAGGCAAACTCCCACAGGCTTTAGATACAAGTGACATACTGAATACTATGTATTTGTATTGGTTCGCCATGAATAAATAGAATGCAGACTTCTTTTCTGACTGACACAATCAACATCCCTTTTAGTCCCTTTTAAATGTATAATGTCCTTCATATCACATAAAATTTATGAGAAATACAGCATTATAAATGTAGAAATCCTATACCTGGAAGGTGGGAGATAGACTTTATCATCAACAAATTGATTATCTGCTTCTCTTCCAAGAATTGAATGTATGTCCTTCCTATTTTTAGTACTTAAACTAACGTTAAGTATGCACTTTGCTCTGTGATAAAGATTGTTTTTCCTGATAGTCACCAGGCACAGGACGTTCTTTATTCTAGGCTTCCCTGCTCCTTAACACTATCATACATCTTGGGCTGCAGGAATTACTCTCCTCTTATAGAACGACAGAAGTGTAAGAAAACAATTAAGAGTGAAATGGCAAACTGGAAAAGGGGGCCAGTAGCTGTCCCATATTAGAAGATCTAGCCTTCTCCTTCTTCATCCCTACCCTTATGCAACAGCTTGGCTGCCCCCCAGTCCTGTGGCAGCTCATCAGTCACTACGCTGCAGTGCCATCGTAGCATGGCAGAATCCCTCACTTTGATTACCCTCCCAGTCTCCATCTCAACCTTTCTCTTTCCAACAGTGTTAGGATCACAGATCAGATGTAATCAGGATGTGAAATAATCTTTGGGTGTCAGACCAGAAAAATGAAAGTATCATTGGTTGCCTGCAATGCTTTTTGTTCATGGATACAAAATCAGTGGGCACTAAGGCAGTTATTAGACATTAAGCATTTATATCAGAGCAGTATGAAGTTCCTACATAACACCACATAAATATTCTGGACTCAAATGCTCTTCAATTTGTATTATTTTTTTCATGTATCCAGCCTCAAATATTTACTCCCTGTGAGCTGCTTCTCACATTTCCAAAGAGCATCTAGCATTATAATGCCATGTTTTGCCTGACACTGGGACTAAACAAGCAATGGGTCTGTGGTTTCTAGTTACAGACAATATTAGTTTCTCAGGATTAGGACCTTTGCATACATATTTTTTACTGTCCTGAACTGTTTCATCACAGTTTGTTAACCTTAAATATACTCTAATTCTAACACATATTTATTATGACCTCAACTTCCCATACTAGACATTAATTCATAACTGTATCATAACTGTAATTCAAACTGATGCACATCAGAGCACAGGCCTGACTTGATATTCATTTCTCCCAAATTAAAATGCTTACATGCCTTTAACCTACTGATTTCTTTTCACTTAAAAAAAAAGTAGAAAAAGCTAATGCCATCGATATATAAAGGTGCATGACATGAACCCTGTTCTTTATGTCACTGTTAGCTTTGGATTCTCTTCTGAGAGCCAGGTCTAGGAGATGGACATGAAACAGACTCCACAAATCCCCAAATCACAGAGCTGGTGACTCCTAATACTAAATAGAGACCAAAGGCAAACATACATGCCATTTCTTGGGAGAACAATGAATTTATGATAACTCTTCCTTTTATCATGTTTTCACAAAACCTAATCACACAACTGGCCAAAACAATTCCCAAGGCTATGGCTGAGAAAACTTCTATCTGATGCTTTCCAGAATTTTCAAATCCCAGGTAGTCAAAAGAGAGAACTGCTGAGCTGACATTGGCATAGCTGATGCCCATGAATCTTACATTTTCACCCATTTTCCCCCAGCACGGATGGCAGTGTTGATGCTTCAGCTGTTTTAAGGCCTACTGGCAATTAACTACTATTCCTGCTTAGGGCAGCATGCAATGAATTTCTGGCTGTGAGCAGTTTTCTGAATAATCACAGATCTTGTACTTGAAAATCTAAAAATCCCATCCATATAGGAAGAATTTTGGGCATTAACAAAAAATTTCTGCAATGAAGAAAATCCTCTGTAGAGTGAATGAATTGCAAATCTCAATTATGCCTAATATTTTATGTACTGTAGATAAATTTCATGTTCTAACTCGTAAGCAGCATGCTACTATGATTAATATTAAAAAATGCACTAAGTGGGAAAGGTGTTGCTCACATATTTATAGCACAAGTTCAAAAACATCTGAATTTTGAGTTCTAAGGCACATGCTCTCACCATGGTGCCAAGTGAGGTGATATAAAAAAGGGACTGAAAGCCCTAAGATTCTGCTAATGGTTTACAGTTATTTCTTGGGTATACTGTGAATGCAGTTTAGCCTGAATGCAGTGCTAATGGCCAAATATTAACAGAAAGAATGGTTTAAATGTAAGAAAACACCCTCTAGGGAGGTGGGGTTTTTTTTGGAACTGATCTTAGCCCCATATTTTTTTGTAAAACCACTCACCTATCTCATTCTGATGGCGGCACTAGCATAATAAAGATAACAACAATTAATGGAACCACCTATGTAATTGAGAAATACATAGTTCAAATATCTTCCATTAGTAAATCCTTCCCACATGATCTATAACACATAGAAAATTCGCCTGCCTACATGAGCATCAGCTGGGCCTCATATCTCCAAATCATATGTCTTTAAATCATAATTCTGTATGAGTATCAATAAGATGCAGAGACTCTCCCATGAATCTCCTGCAAATTTGCCTTACCATAGATGAACTTGGAGACATGCTGTTTTAACACTATCCCAATACGGCTGTACTCATAAATAGCCATCAAGGAAATTCTACTAGACAAAAAAAAGAGGAAGTCCAGATAGAACTGGGATTCATCGTCTCTCCTGTGCAGGAAAAATCTCCGTAACTGAAGCTCATAGTTGGTACAGTTTCTAGTAATTTGAGACTTCTCACATGGAGCTGTATTTTCCACCTCAGGAGACAAACCATACTCAGCTAAAGAAACTCGGGACCCTGAAGACAAGATCATCAGAAGGCTTAGGGTGGGAAGTGGCCAATTAAGTTCATAAAACAAGGGTGGAAAAGACTGGAAGGAAACAATCAGAGAAGACAGTTTTCCTGCTGTGGAAAATGGAACTTAGCATTGGGAAGACCAACAAGGGCAGGGGAGAGTCTTGTGGGAACACTGGATTTTGTTCTTGTTCTTGTTCTTCAGCTTTGTGTAACTGAAGTCAGAAAGCACAGCTTACCTCGCTCACATGTTCTACCCCAGTAGCCAGTGCCAGTGCAGTCACAAATGAAGCGGTTCCAGCCATCCTTGCAGACTGCATTGTTCTTACACGGGTAGCTGTCGCACTGCTTGGTGCTGAGGCGGGAGCAGGAGGACTTGACTCCGGCGGCATTCTGCGCCTCTGCCAGCTGCCGGATGTTCTTGCTTCGTCCGTCAATGAACAAGTCTCGGATACAGCCGACGTAGCCGTAGTTCAGCATTGCTGTCCAGAGCTCTGTGGGAAGGATGAGTCCTGCCCGGTTCTCGGGCAGCCCACCCAGGTACATGTCACCTTCCAGATCTAGGATCTCACTCTCCCCGCTAGCGGTGAACGGTGTGCGTCGGCTGTTCACTGATATAGTACCTAAATGAGGAAGATAAGTAGACATCAACACTTTCAACTACAGACTCAGTTTAGTTCATTTTTTTCCAATAACTAAGTGAGGTTTAAGGCTCAGCATTGGAGAGTGAAGATTCTTTCCTACCCAAATGGCATTCTAACTGTGTCTTTCACACAGCTCCCCCTCCTCCTGATCCACAGTGGTTCCATGCAGCGACTGATCATGCATCTGTATCCCAAATTGCATTAGAAAGTCAGAAGCATAATAATTCAATAGATAAATAATAGCATGTAAAATTTGAGCATTACTCAGTGGTATTCGTCCAGCAAAGCAAAAACTTATTGAGAACACACAGGAGTTTGGCATAAAGACTAGAGAGAAAAAAGATATGCAAAAGCATTTTAATTCCCACTATATAGCTTTTTCAGAAAACACTCCATCAGTACCTCCATATCTGGACCTGGATGATGGACCAATACAGATACATTTGTAAGTGACATGGAGAGAATGGCTGATGCATTGGAGGAAGCACTGAGTTACCATTTAGAGAAAGCATTGCAAGGTGGAGCAAAGGACTGATAGCAGTGTTTGATGTAAATCAAAACCAATAAATATGAAGTCCTACACCTGAGTCACAAAAGCCTCACACATAAGTACAGGCTAGTGACAAGCTGGCTAAGGAGCAGCTCTGCAGAAAAGGACCTGGAGACAACTTGAACATGAATTAACACTGAACTTGTAGTGGCAAGAGACAAGAGCTGCAGTAAGGTGCCCTGGTTCCAGCTAGAACAGAGGTAATTCTCTGCAGTAGCTGGGAGGGTCATGGCCAGGGGAAGCAAGTGAGCATGTGGTTTGCAGAGTCTCAATGGGACCACTGAATGGAAGAGTACCATTCTTAAGTCACAACATAAGGGAATCTCCAACTCCACAGAAAAGGACATTTTTCGCCACAAAAGCGGTCAAACACAGAAACAGAAACCTCAGAGAGGTTTACCAGACTGAAGGCATTCAAAGTTCAACTGCATATGACCCTGAAGAAAGTCTAGGCTGAACTAGAAATCTTCAGAAGTTTGTTCCAAATTAAAAAACTGTATGCTTTACAAAGCAAGTTTTCTAGTTTCCATTTTATACAGGAAACTTGAGAAAGGCAGAGACAAACTTATATCTGAACAACAGTTGTTATTAAAATTGTGATAGCTTCTATATGCTCCAAATCAAATATGGGCATAGTGCACTGAGGTAATTCACATGTATTTCAAGAAATTGACCCAGCTCACAAAATAATCAGAACATATAATACATAAATATAACCAGAACATGTAAAATAGGTACAGAAAAACAAAGTGACTTGTTTAAGGTCAGACAGTGTGTCCACAGAAAAACAGGGAACATAATGCACATCTCTCACATTCCAGAACAGTGCACTCTTCTGAAGAGCATTCAGCAGTTTCTGTGATAGGGATATCTGCCCACTAGACACTCATCTAAAAATCAGCAATTCACTCTCCCTAGCTATAAATCATCACATCGAATTGCCTTGTCATTAAGACAGTCTGTCTTCAGAGACACTATCCAAGCTTTAAGATTAATTCCACATCATTGGATTTTTATCAGACACCCTACAATAAGGAAGAAGAGTTAATAGAGTTAACTCTATCTATTGGCTCTGTGAGAAAGTACACTCACCTTTTCATCAGTTGTTAGAGGTATCTTCTTAGAGAACTGCATGATACAGACACAAGGTATTCCATGTGTGTGATTTTCCATAATAATTGAGGAATAATATTGGAGGAAGCAGTGTCAGAAGCAACAGAGGCATTACAAATTAAAGGCTCAAAGAGAACCACAGTAATTTGATGAATCATTTTGCATCAACAAGCAGAGAACCATAGGCATTTTTTCTTTTATAAAATAAGGAAAGAGAAAATATGACAATATACATACTGTCACACAGCCAGCATGTCACAGAGCCATGGGAACACAACTCCCCTTCCAGCATCTCCAGTGCTATTTCTCAAAAGCAGCCTGTAGAGTACATATTACTCTAAAGCTTAGAACCAAAACACTGGAGGAGCTCTAGACAGCTGCTACTGTGAAGAGAACAAACATGTGCGAATGCCACAAAGGTAAAGAACCCCCTAAAAGACAAGAAATATTGGATAATTGGAGAAAGATGGTGAGATGATGAACAAAAAATAGGCCAGACAGCAACCTAAATATTCTGAGTGTTTTGTACCCTGCAGTAACTCCTGCAAGGAGATAGCACTAGTTTGGATGAACAGCACTTTTAAGACCAAGCTGCTGAGATGGAGAAATTCTATATTGATCCAAGAAAGGCACACTGGCATAAGCTGACACCCTTTTTTTTTTTTTTTTTTTTTTCCCTTCAGAATACCATGTTTTCCATTCTGCTTAGAGTAGATCCAAGTCCATCTTGAGAAATCAGAAGTATCTAAGTACCTCCTCTGCAATGCCATCTCCTCTTTGTGCTGGACCGAAGAACAGACCAAAACACCCCTTGAGGGCAGAACAGGCACATCAAACAGTGCACTGATACAACTGAAAACCAAACCATCTAGTAAGATTTTTAGTGTCTGATCAGTTGGGAAGTCATGTATGTTTTGTAGCTGATGACTACCTGAAAATATTGTCCTGTGTAAAATGCTCACTGTTCCCCAGCTAGAAACTGTGACAGCTTTTGTGAACCTGGTGGGAGCTTTCCCAAAGGACAGAAAGGTTACAGGACGTTAGGTGTCCATGTACATGCTGCCAGCTTCTGTCAGAGTAGAAAGAGAAAAACATTTTTTTTGGCTCTGGCAGCCAACACAAACCAAAGCATACACAAAGCCTAAGGGGACTAGAGATGCCAGAGGTTATCTGAGCATGACTGCCAAGCTTCCCTGCCTTAGTGCACTGCGGTAGTGAATATTTGGATTTTTAGGCTATTTTAGATCAGCAGAACCTGAAGTTTTGGACTGTTAGAAAATGGGGAAAAAACAAAGAGAGATGACACCTAACATAGGCCTTGCTGCTTTAGTAATGAGAATCATAATTTGCAGGTCAGTTGCTCATTAAACTCAAAAGGGTGTTTATAGCAATCATTAAGTAAATTAATTGTTTCTGTTTCTGAATTATAGCAATCTATACTAGGGGGGAAAATATCTTCAAGGTGTAACCAGTCTCCAGTCCACATGTGGAAGAAAAGCCAAAGACTGAACAAGAACTCCTCGAAGTCTTAAACTCCTTTCTCATACTTATCCGAAGCATCATTGTATAATAGTGACTGAGGTACAATGTGAAGAAATCAATGCAAATATCCTGGTTTTCTCAAGACACAAGACATCAGTCATTAGGATCATCAACTAAGTATTCATTCCGAGAAGTGAACTAAAGAAAAAGAAGAAAAAAAAGAAGACAAGACATCATATGAACACATTCTTTCTTGTTGAGAAAAATGTTTCAAAATCTGATACCTCTAATCAGTGTCCAGAATATCATAAACCTCCCTGCCAAGTGACAAACAAGTCAATCCTACAGGGTCATCCATCAAGCAGCAATGTGCCACACCCTCCTGTGAATGTGTCCATATTTACACATATCCCTCTTGGTAGGGTTTTGCAAACATTCTTTGCATAGAGCCTGTGTCATTCCTGTCTCTTCTCCCTCTGCAGCTGCTTCTTCAGGGATGAGATAGTCCCCAAGTGAGTAAGCAAAACTGAAGTCAGCATGAAATACAACTAATTGAGTTTGCCCCTGGAAGTTAATTACATTTTAGCAATTCTAAAGAAATCAAAGCTCCATTTATTTATTTATGGCTTCCTTTGTAAAATGTTCCTATCAATGTCTTTAGGAGACAGCAATATATAACTATATATATATATAGTTATATATAAAACGCACATATTAAGTCCAAGCAGAGCACCATGCCAAATACAAAGAAACTACTCATATCATCAAAGGAAAACATAGCTTCAGGCAAAGACCTGTTCAAACAGCTAGGCATTCCATGGTATCTCAAAGTCAGCTCTTTTAAAAAACCAAGGGAAGAAAATTCTAGCACTCCATTCCCTATACTGATGGTATTCAGCAACTGGAAACATAAAATTAGCGACCTAAAACTATCATCAGGAGATCACCAGACAAATCTCAAATCCACTGGCAAATGTAAGTAAAATTCCTTTTGAAGTGAAGGTTTTGAGATACCAGTGGTTCAGAAAAAAACTGAACTACAATTGTACAATTCTCTAGATGAAGCTAGAGTAACTGAGAATTTTTTTTCCTCCACAATTTCAGAGTAGTATGTTAGCTTGATATTCAGCACTGGAAACAAGAAAAATATCTCTTGGCAATTGCATGGTAGGTGTATTTTTAGAAATAAAGTAAAACCCATATTTGAAAATGAGAAGCTGCAAAGAAAGAAAAGAAACATCCACTGAATATTGTCTCAGATTTTAAGACTAGAATCTGTCATTCAAAACAGTAATGAAACCTAACTCAAAACTACAGGATACTAAAACAGAATGGAATAAAAATGTTGATCTGTTGCCATAATTTTATTACTGGTTATGCCCATTACTCTTATTTTTCTCACAACAAGATCCCAAATGCAGAAACCCAAGTTAGATCAGGAAGAATTTCTCAAACTGAGAACAGTGGTACTGGAGGACCTTAAACCTTACCAAGAAAGAAATCGTCATAATAACTATGCATGCAATTGCAAATATAGGTCCAGAATATTGGAGGATTGTGAATAAAACATTAATAGATTACCTCTGTGATGTGCTATTCAAAATTCACACTACACATTTAATGAAAACATTTAATGAAAACCGTTCACATTTTGCCTTGCTGGATAAACACCACTGGAATAACACTTTGTTAAGGAGGTGATTCATATCTAATAGATTTTGAATGTTCTGAGAATTAATACATAGCTCCAAGTCTGAATCTGAAATATGAATCTATTTAAGAAAAAGTTATAACTCTACCCGATCTTCCATCTCGTTGAATATCCACATGATACCACTCTCCATCATTGGCTTTCTTCTGTGTGGCCTTGACTTTAATGGTCCCAGAGCCCATGTCCAGCAGCAAGTAGAGGTTTCCATCTAGAAGCTCAACTGCAAAAAAGTCTACCTTTGTATTTTTCTGGCTTCTGGTATCTTTTCTCTCCTGAGGCTTGCCGTGGGTGAAAAGGATCAGTCCATTGGGTTCAGTGGTTCGGAAATCAAATGAGATAGAGCCCATCCTCTTGGTATTCCATTTAGGCAGACTAATATAGGCCTCAGGTGTCTCAAAGCTGATGGGATCCAGTGTAGCCACATTTTCACATATGAATTTCACTTCCCCATAGATCTTCATCTTAGTATCACCAATCCGTGCCAAGCGAGACAGCTCCAGACGAATGTCATTATTCTTATAAACAACCTGCCAGACACAAGGAAAAGTATCATACATCAATGCTGCATACAATACAAATACCCCAATTACTCTCAGCCATGGGAGATAAACTTTTCCCAAAAGGCAGTGGGGCGAGGAAAGGAGAGGGTGCAAGAGTCTAACATCATGACAGAGGGAGTGAGTTGAACCAGAAGAGTGTATAGAAATGACAGCAATGGGCACTTGGCAATGACTATAGATCAGATAAGCAGTCAAAAGATAATATTTAACTGAAGGGCAGTGAGAACAATTAACTCTACCACAGGCCCACTTGGCTGTAAAATCTTCTGTACATAAAATCCAGTGTGCGTCTGGTATCATACTGTTATATTTGCATAAATCCCATACAAAATACATAACAAAGTGTAACCTCCATGTCCATCTCTACTAGCCACAGCAGGGAACTTGGTACTACTGTCATTTCTCTATTATTCCTATAGCCTACTTAACTACCAGGAGAGAGACGCAAAAAACTTTCAGCAAGTTGTGAACTATTAGTGATTGCCCTGTGGGTCTTGAAGAAAAAATAAAAAATACTTAAAATTTCTCTAAGAAATCTTAGATCACTACTTACACAAACTTGCCATTGAAATATCTCTATAGTTTACCCTTACTTCAAGAAACCAACAATTTTTGTGCTAAAACAAAAAACCCTGTACATTTTCAGTGTCTGGACTCTCACTTTCTCTGGGTTAAGGACCAGAACTCTGGGATCTATTCTTGCTACGTGGATTGAAATTAGCCAAGAGAAGAGTCTCAGACAGGCAAGCACTCCTGAGCATGTCTGGCTCCTACTCTTCTCCTACTCTTCTCTTTCTCTCAGGTACAGAATGAATTCCTGGAAAGCAGGCTCTTCTCTGCCCCATGCCATTCTCACAGAGGCAGGAACTGGAGAAGGCACAAAATTTGAATACTTGTAAACTGTACTTCTTCTCAATTCCCTTCCATGCTTGCTAAATGCAGAGCTGGCATGTACAGCAAGTAAAACCACTTCTGCAAGTAGCACAATTTTTATTGAATTCTTGTTCAGCGATACTTGAAGACTCTAATTTCTTCTAAGGAGTTATTATTCTAAAATACTTTCTGTCTGTCACATATAGCATATATATACACATCTTTGATTTCTGCTTTCAAAATCTTATCAGGATGAGCTGTCAGCAATTTGCTACAAAAATAGAAGGGAAAGGAGATACACATTGTTACTTCTACTATTAAGACAGGAAAGTCAGAAAAATGTGTATGCGGTAAATATTAAAAGACAAATGAGAGAAAGAATGAAGGATAGGCTTATAAATTAGTTAACTTCAAGATGAAAAAATAAATTAAATCATGATTCAATACATTCATAGCCATCAAAAAAATTTCAGCATTCTCTAAGCATTAAAGGAGAATTTCTCCAATGTAGTCAGATTTTCCTGTTGCAAAGGCAAAACAGAGTGAAAGAAGAAGCCAGCTGTTAAATTCCATTTGGAGAAATGGCACAAAGCTCTAGCTCTTCCCAGCAGAGGACAGTATTGACCCACAGTATCTGGTTTTGCTCCAATAACATGCTCTGCCTTCACACAGGCATCAGAAACATCAAGGCTATTAATATCTGCAACAGGGAAAAAATTCATTTTAAGTTTATGAGACTGTAGTAGTATTATTCTACAGATTAATCATGTCAAATGCTCTCATTAGAGAGACCATACACCTCCTTCCACTGACACAGCAAGGGGGTGCATTAGAGCCTTCTCTCTTCCCAGACAGAGTTGCACCTCAGTCAGAGTGTTGTTCTAAGCACTGCATGAAGTCCTGTCACTGCTTCTCAAGGAGAAAGAGGAAATAAATAGAGCAACAAAAAGAATGGAACAGGATGCTTTATGAGGATAGACTGAAAAGGCCAAGCTCATATTTGGAGAGGACTGAGAAAAATATTGAAGTTTACAGAAGATGGAGAAGGTTAGTATAGAACTGCTCTTTGCCAAACCCAGCAATAACAGAGTTAGAGGCACTTACTGAAACTTGTATGAAATCAGTATAAAATTGATTTTTAGAAGTACTTATTTACATAGAGGGTAGTGAACCTCTGGAACTTGCTGCCAGGGGAGGTCATGGAAGTAGGGTGCAACAGAAGACACAAAAAGAACCAAAAATAACAACAGACAGCAAGTCCACAAACTGATACTGAATGAAAAAGGAAGGAGTGCATCTTCTAGCAATTGTAAACCAACAGCAGTGAGTGCTGCAGGAATGTAAGGGAATGCAGCACTGACAGCAGCCATGGTCATGTGCTCCCCCTAAATAGCACCTGCACCCTCCACTATTGAAGACACCATACTAGGTGCAGGGATTGACCATTCTTCAGGCCCACAAGGGCTTGTGATTTTGGTGCACCACTGCACTTTTGGTTTCACCACAGCATGAAGTTGCTTTGGTGAGCAAGAGAATGCCAGACCTGAATGAGCTGTGGCTTTAATGATTCTAAGGAAGGAGAGCTGCCCTTATAGGATACCACTAACAACTGGTCAAACCAACACTCCTCTAAACTGCATCTTGACCCAGTCTTCCCATACATGAGAGGAGCAGACAGGTAGCACAGTACCCTACATGATTGATGGGTGGTGCTGGGTTGTATCTAGCCATGACTCTGATCTGTTTTCAGCTATCTCTGTGAGTTGCTGGTAAGGGGAATATCATATGCACATTAGCAGCTCCCACACGCACCCAAGCCACTTACAGGCTACATCTCCCTCTTTGATGTATTTGATACTTGAGTAACAGGTCTCATCTTTTCCAGGAAAATGCAGAGGGTTTGTCTCTCAGTTTATTTGAGGTATGATGCTGACTGCTTTGTGTTTTGTTGATCATACAAGTACCACAGCTGGAGAACCCTTGAGGCAGAATGCCTTCAAAGGAACCAGAAAAAAATTACATAAAGTTAGTTGTAATCAAGAAAGTGACTAGCAATGAAGAATCTGAGGCCAAGAATGAAGACACTAAGAAAGCAAGTGCAAAGGAAGACCTGGGGAGATGACAAAGGCTGTTGAATAGACACAAGAGAGTTCTGAATTCAATCTTTACAAAGAAATATAACCACCCTAATCTGAATCTCTGTTATTCAAAGGTCGTTCTAAATTATTTTCTTTTTAAAAAGCCCAGAACAAAACACCTAACTTGAGAAATCTAAAAAGGCACCTATGTTTATGGAATAAGTGCAAGTGTTTCCATAGGTGACTTGAAGTATTATTGACAGACACATTTGGACATCAGCATCATGACGTATAATCAAGTACACCAGAACTCACATAACAATAAAAGGAAAGGACAGAAATAATGGCTGGGTGTAAAGCCAATATGAATACTTGGCAGGAACAGAGAAATGTTAAGTCAGATTCTGATAATGGCAGTTCAATTGTTAAACCAAAGGTTCAAGACTGAGGAGGGAATATAATCAAATGACTGGCATGCATGTCCCATAGTGGAGAACATTCAAATTCAGTCTGTTTAACAGGCAGAGGTTAAAATGTGATTCGATTGCAATCTACAAGTACCTGTGCAGAAAATGGAATTTGGCAAGAGAGTGGTCTTCAATGCATGTGACAATGAGATCTGGGGGCTAGAGACTGAAGTTAGAGAAATTCATATTTTAAAATATTATGACTTATTTTTACATTAGGGTAATTTGCTTGTGAAACAATTTACTACAGGTTATAGTGTGTTCTCTGCTACTGGCAAATTTTAAATTAAAATAGTATCCTGCTTTCTCTAAAAGACATAGTGAGACAGGAATTAATTATACAGCAAATCAGCCTAGATTATCATAATGGCTCTTTCTGGCCTCATAACCCATGAATCTTTGTGTTTTAATGAAATCAACAGAGGCTTCAGTGCAGTTTGCATGACAGATGATGCACATCTTCCCAGCTGCTAATTCTGCCTGGTAAAGGAGAAGATGCTATTGTCAATTCTGGTCTGACTTGTCATCAGTATTTTCAGGGAAGATTTTTTTACATTTTTACATGTTTGGGGCTCTACCTTAAAACCTTCCACTAAAAAGGAAGGCAAGAAAAAAGTCTTGGACAAAAAAAAACTGATTCTATAACTCAAATATATAAGCTTCAAGAAATAGTTTCTTAGAATCACCTGCTGCAAGTCAGAAAAGATACATTGTCATGTTTCACTGAGCATGGTTTCTGCCAGCAGTAGACTCTACCATCTGCATAGCACTTCCTACCTCGTAGTCTCCTTTTATGAGCAACCTCTGAGCTAACTTGAAGGCCCCTCAGTATATGCCAAAATACCTACTGAAACCCAGTCCTCTAAATTCAAATGAGGCCATGACTGTCTCAGAATGCTGCTCCTCTCTAGGACAGTCTTCTAGGGCCACACATGGCTTCAAAAGCAAATGAGAAGTAAGCAAAGCAATGAAAGCAGTGCTCATAGGCTTCTCGATTTATGTCAGGTGCCTTCTGAACAATGCCAGTCTTGCCTGTTGAAACAGACACAAGCTTGAACTCATCCCTGATATGAGGTTTGATATGCATACCATATCATAATGGTATACATATCAAACCTCATATCTGATATGCATACCAGAGAAGGGCTAATGGAGTCAATGACATGATTCCTGATACAGACATAGCCATCTTTATTTTGGGAATGAAGGTGGAAAAGCAAAGGGATGAAAATTATTAGCAAAAGCTATGCACAGAGCTTTTGAAAAGTAACCTTCATTTCTCCAATCTTAAAATCACTTTATATTGCAAAAATGAAACAAGAATAATGAAAACAATTGTTTTTTCCTTTCCCATGGGGACTGTTTCTAAATACACTTTAACAAGGGTATATTGACCATTCAATGCCTTTGTTTAATGAATTAGACTAGTATAAATGGACGGTCAGGAAGGAGATAGTCCAGATACACATGGTCCTGATAATCAACAGTAGAATTTCATTACATCTAAAACACTCTGAGGGGAAAAAATATACACATTAAATCATGTTTC